TTCACTTTTACTTCTTCACAACTCTTTTTCTTTATTCTTTATCATTTTTGTCTACCGTATTCTTCTATCATTTGTTTTTTTTTTTAAGATTCAATTATGACTTTCTCACATGTTTTTCTATATTTTCTCAAAAGTGCTCCGTTTCTTTAATCCATTTACAGTTTTGTCTCCCATTTTTCAACATTATTTTATTTTGAAATACTTTTTTTTCTATTATCAACCCGAACTTTTTAACATTCAAACTTTTGTCACATGTTTTCTAAAAAGTTGCTAAATTCAATCAATTTTCTTTATTCTTTGGAATTTCCGTCTAACATATTCTTCTACCTTCCATTTTTTTTTTAAAAAGAATGACCCGTGCAATGGCAAACATTTTCCTAGTTAATATAAAAGTCCAATTAATAAGTAAGTAGCATACTAAATGATACAAATGAAAAGACCGACTACATGAAAGTAGAAGGAAATAAATTTGTTTTTTACTTTTCTTTCTCTGCCCCTGTTTCGCTACAACTTGCGACGAAAACAAAAAATTGACGTGTATTCGAAGATTAAACAAGAAATGGTTCAATGTTTTTCCAAGAGATATGTATTTGCTATATTAGTAGACGAGTACAGTGGAATCATAATTCAAAAAAAAAAATTATCTTATTACTTTTTATAAAGAATTGTTTTTGTGCTGCCCTTTGTAAACATTTATGTTCCGCCACTCCGTTGAGGCCACTGAAACACCAGCCCGACTACACGCATTGTGGCAATATATGGAGTCTCAACATCGATCATTGTCGGTTAAGAAGAAAAGCATCAGTCAATTTTTTAAAAAAAAATTCTCTATAAAGTGGATGATGGTGTGGGCCTGTGGGGAGCCTTTTCTTAACAAAAATATAAAAATGCGAAGAACGACATGAGAATTTGGTAACAAAAATAAAAAGATGTAAAGAATGACATGAGACGTGATATGAAAAAAAAAATTAATGGAAAATGATCGAATACTCTGAAGGAGATGTTCAAGGCTTAAACTACCCACCGCAAAGCCTTCCTTCTTTGTCTTTTTTAAATAAACGAAGATTAGGTAGGTTTCTATGATAGGATAGTGGGGTTATATACAATTACATTACAATATTTACATAATAAACTCCTTCACACGATATCTATCTAACAGAACACAACCAGTCAAACATTCATTTCTTCTCTCCTTCCTTTATACTCCAAACACAACGCGGATTCTTTGGTCTTCTTCTTCCGGCCGCTCTCTTTCTCTCTCTAAAACTTTCCACGAAATCATCAATAACATATACATAAAACCAACAATACCGGTGCTCTTCCTTGATTCAAGCTTATTTTCTTGATTTTTCTATGGCGATTTCAAAGAGTGGTAATAACAAGAAGCAGCAGCAGCAGCAGCATCACTGTTACATCTCCGTACCTTCTGAGATCATAAGCTCTCTCTCATCTACTTCTCTTCAATCTCTGGTTGTTTCACCCAAAAAGGCAAGTGCTGCTTGGAAGATTGGTACTTTTTCGAGATCGAAGATTCTTAAGAACCCGAGGATCTGGTTTTTGTTGCTTTCTATATGTGGGTTCTTTTTTATGTTGAAAATGTATAATTTTGACCCTTTTGCACCATACCCATGTGGGAATAGCGAAAATAATGACGATTCGAGCATAATCTCAAGCGGGGTTCTGAGTGCTCCGGTCATACTTGAAGAAAAATATGAGGAAAATAGTGATTTCTGGGAACAGCCAGATGGGCTTGGGTACAGGCCTTGTTTAGATTTTAGTGAAGAGTATAAGAAATCAAGCGTTGAGATTTTGAAAGACAGAACAAAGTATTTGGTGGTGGTGGTTTCTGGTGGTATGAATCAACAAAGGAATCAGATTGTTGATGCTGTTGTGATTGCTAGGATCCTTGGTGCCACTCTTGTCGTTCCAATCTTACAAGTCAATGTTATTTGGGGAGATGAAAGGTTTTTTTTTTTTTTTTTTCTATATTTCATTTTCCATCATGAATTTTGGTTCGTGCTGTCCTTGGATGCAGCGATGCGTTAACAACAATATTGTGGCAGTCTACTTGTTTGAGAAAAGTCATCCATAACACGTTTTTTGTGTTTAGACCCCCAAATTTATCAAATTCAGTTGTCCTAAAATAGAATGATTGGAGAGTTTCCGTGATATGCGTGTTAATTAGATTTCTAATTTGTGGGTGCAGTGAATTCTCTGATATATTTGATGTTGAGCACTTCAAGAGAAGTCTAGCAGATGATGTTAGAATCATTTCGTCTTTGCCATCAAACCATCTGATGTCAAGACCGGTGGAGGAAAAACACACTCCGCTTCACGTTTCCCCTCAATGGATTCGCTCTCGTTACCACAGAAGGGTATGTGGATTTTCTTTCTTTCTCATTCAAATTATGTATCATCTGAAGATAACTAAGAATTCCATCAATGGCTTGATTATGTTTGTTTGCTTGGTCAAGATTCCACAATTAACATAGAAGATCCAAGTATAAGTGAGGATTCCCAAGTTTGAATTGATAAAAAGCATCTACTTTTGTTGTTTTTAGCCAATTTGTTGATTTGCCTAATGAGTCAACGAGATAATGGATGTTTTTCTTTCTTAATGAAGGTAGTTTTTGTTGGTTTATATAGATGAGAAGAGAAGGTGTTCTACTCTTACGGGGTCTAGATTCAAGACTCTCCAAGGATCTTCCTTCCGATCTCCAAAAGCTTCGATGCAAGGTACAATGAATGAATGCATGTGACTTTGTGTGGGAGTTCCTAATCCAATGTGGATTGGGCTTTTTGTGGGCAGCCACCTAGAGGCCTCGTTGAAAAAATAAACTTATTGTATGAAATTTTTGTTGTAGGTTGCATTTCACGCATTGAGGTTTGCCCCACCAATCTTTGAACTAGGAAAAAAGATTACAGAGAGGATGAGAAGCAAAGGGCCTTATCTTGCTCTTCACCTTAGAATGGAGAAGGATGTTTGGGTGAGAACCGGATGTCTTCCAGGGTTGAGTTCAAAGTATGATGAAATAATCTACAACGAGAGAAAGCTTCGCCCCGAACTCCTAACTTCAAGATCCAACATGACTTATCATGACCGAAAGCTAGCCGGTCTATGTCCTTTAAACGCTGTTGAGGTCACACGGTAAGAAGCTTCATCGCTATTTCTTTTATTTAAGGCTTTTGTTTCCATCATATATTGATTGGGCTTGCAATTTGATGTATTATGCTTTGATGAATATCTCAGGCTCTTGAAAGCTCTACGAGCTCCAAAGAACGCAAGGATCTTTTGGGCAGGAGGAGATCCATTAGGAGGGAAAGAAGCATTGCTTCCATTAACAAAGGAATACCCTCATTTTTACAACAAGCAAGACCTTGCTTTACCAGGGGAATTAGAACCCTTTGCTGGAAAAGCTTCAATTATGGCTGCCCTTGACTACATTGTTTCTGAAAACAGTGATGTGTTCATGCCTTCTCATGGTGGAAACATGGGGCATGCCATCCAAGGACACAGAGCATACGCAGGGCATAAAAAGACCATTACCCCCAACAAAAGACAGATGTTATCATATTTCTTGAACCCTTTGCTTCCTCAAAACAAGTTTAATCAGATTATCTTTGATTTGCACCGTGATTCCATGGGGCAGCCTGCTATTAGAACCAGCAAGGCCGGACGTGATGTCACAAAGTATCCGATACCAGAATGCATGCGTAATTGATTTTTCGATCACTGGTATATTCGTCTTTTTGGTTCTTCGATCACAAGCTTCTTATTCATCGCTTCATTATTTTTTACTACAAGGGGGAATCATAGATCACTAAAATGTACATAAATACATCACATTATACGACACCAAATCTTTATTCAATTCATTTATTCTTTCGGACTATATATATATATATATATATATATATATATATATATATATATATATATATATATAGAG